CTGCTGTTCAGGGTGAGCCCTGGGGACTGAGTCTGTGGGTGAGACTGGGACAGGCGTGCCCCGGTGCAGATGGCCCTGAGTCCAGGTTCCCCATCTGAGCCTTGGGAGAATGAGAGCTCCCACCTCAGAGGGTTTGGGGTCACATGAATTAATACACTGGCACTGACGCAGAAGGTGTCCCCACGGTGCCTCTCCAGGGAGGTCCTCGCTCTCCTCCAACCCCCAGCCCAGGAATGCTGTGGCCCCCAGATGGAGCGGAGAGCAGGGGGTTCTGAACTGCCCAGCCTCTCCTTAGGCCACAGGGCAACACCATTACTACTGTTGCTATTCAAGGAGAACGAGGCGGTGGGAACAGCTGAAAGGACATGAGAGTTGGACCCAGGGACACCTGCCATGGACATCTGTGGCCTTGGGCACACCCCTTACTCTTTCTGGAAAAGCACGCCCTAGCATCTGGGAGAGTCTGAAAAAAACGTTTGCCTCTCCACGCCCCCCCAACCCCCTAGAAACGATGGCAGAACGAGAAGTTCGGGGTGGACCCCCGCGATGACTATGAAGATGAAAATCTCTACGAGGTGAGTGGAGGAGGATGGGGCTGCAGAGGGGCAGGTGCACTGTGCGGGTCACGGGCTCCTCCCGTGGGTCCTGATGGGAGGGAGGAATCCTAGGCTTCAGGGTGCTGAGGCCGGGCCCCACGCTTCTACCTAGGGCCTGAACATCGACGACTGCTCCATGTATGAGGACATCTCCCGGGGTCTCCAGGGCACCTACCAGGATGTGGGCAGCCTCCACATTGGAGACGTCCAGCTGGAGAAGCCATGACACCCCCGCCTCCAGGGGGCTGCCCTGCCTGCTGTCTGCTGTGTGTCTTCTCACTCCCCCAGGATGTCTTTCTTCACTCTTCCCTGGGGGTGTCCTGTGTCCACTTCCTTCTTGGGGCATCCTTTCTCCCCCCCCCCATATCCCACCTGCTCTTCTTCCTTCTAGACTGCCCACCTCCACCAGAACCCCATCCCCTACCCCTCTCTCAGGCCCCTCCCCAGTGGGTCATGAGCCTTCAATAGCTGCCTCTCCCAGGGCTGATTGGAGCAGCCTCGTTAGTGTCCCCCGCCTTGCTGATCTGTCATGGCCACTTAGTGATAATAAACCCTTCCCAACTGCAGACCTTGCAGGACTCATGGATCTCATGTGCCCCCCACCCCATTCCCTGGACCCCGGAGTTCTGGGCCACATACCGCCCTCCCTCAGACCCAGGATAGAGGCCCAAGCCATCCCCTACCCACTCCCCACACCCGGGACAGGGTAACCAGTCTGCCTGCCCCCCTCTGAAACACTCTTGGAGAAAGTCTCTTGGGGAGATCCCCACCCCAATTACAGGACTGATTTGGCTCCTCCAGGGCCTCGCCCCTAGACAAGGGGGGACAATGGGAGGCTGGCCCCCAATTCCCACTGAGGCCACCTCTGCTCCATGGGTACAAGGGGATTTGGAGTCTACAGCCCTAACCTGGGGGGGGGGGCAGGTGCACAGGGACAGAGTTAGAGACAATAGAGAGACTGAGACACAGGGACAGGGAAGGAGAGTCAGCAAGCGAAGGAAGAGACAAAGAATCTGAGAGATACAGAGACAGGGAAACGAAGAGAAAGAGGCTCCCAAGACAGAGAAGGAAGACAGAGAGAGAAAGCAGAGCCCCCCAAGAAGCGGACAGACAGGACAGGCTGAGGGAGACAGGGAGGGCCAGGGCTGGGGAAATGACCGAGACTGAGATGCAGACAGACCCAGAGGGGGGGTGAGAGGGAGTAGAGGGGCCACCAGAGAAGCAAAGGCCTGGAAAGGAAAGACCCCTGTGAGAGACAGAGATACAGAGATGAGAGAGACTCAGACAGAGACATCCAGAGACGCAAGAGAAAACCAGAGTCGGAAAGCAGCGGTGGCGGTGGGCCGAGGCTGGGGCTCACCCCTCGCCCCCCAGCCCTACCCTAAACAGGGAGACGCGAGAAGCGTGGAGCCCGCGACCCGCGACCCGCGGACCGACAGACGGGGCGAGGGCAGGAAGCGGGGAGGGGCGGCCGGGCGGGGGCCTCCGGAAAAACGCCCCCACTTCCTGCCCCGCCAGAGCCAGGAAGCGGGAGCCGGGACACAGGGCCCGGGATCACCGAGCCCGACCCCGGGCGCCCCGCCGGTCACCTCCCCGCGCGGACACCAGGTACGCCGTCCCAGGCCCCGCCCGGCCTCCCGCCCCTCGGCTGCAGGGGGAAGTGGGGAGGAGGAGGGAGGGGGCTGGGGCGCTGCCCGCAGCGGAGGCGCCTCCTCGGGGTCCCAACTAGCCTGCGGCCACCTCGCCTTAGGCCTCAGTTTTCCCATCTGTCAAAGGGGGCACGGAGAGGAGGACACTTGCTGAGCGCTGAGTAGGTGTGGATGCACGGGGCAATGCCAGGGGCAAGGCCTCCCATTGGGCGGGTGGGGAAACTGAGGCCCAGGAAACCGAGCCCACTCGTCCCTGGGGACACACAGTGAGACCGTGTGGAGTTGAGAGGCGACCTCGCAGGTGCTTTCTGCCAAGCGCCGTCCCCCAACCCCGCACGCTTTAGGGCCACCTAAAGCCGTCCACATCCCAAGAACCATAATGACAATGCCGTGGGCCGCTGGGAAGCTGAAAGTTGCAGAGCGCGTTGGAAAGCGTCTCTGAAAGGCTCCTTTCTGGGTCCTTACGCTCGGGGATGGGTGTAGGGGAGCGAGCTGGAGACCTTCGTCCATTGTACAGAGGGGAAGACTGAGGCCTGGGGAGAAGTAATTACTTCTCCTAGTTCAGGCTGCTAGTCCGAGGGAAAGGTATGCTCAAAGCCAAGAGTTTTGCTTTCCAGCTCCAGCGAAAAAGGGACAGTAGGGTGCCGAATTGGGTGTGAGCATTGGGGATTCAGCTGGGGAGAGAGATAGAGCGGGGAGCCCCAGTCTGAGCTTTGGGGACCTGGGGCCAGCGCGACTCTGAAATCTCGGATTGAACTCTGACTGGGGGTTTGGAACCCTCCGCACCTCCGGGCAGGGGGCGGGGCCTGGGAGATCGACGGAGGCAGTCGAGATACGGAAAAGCCGGCCCTCCAAGACAGGCCAGAGCGGCCCTATGTGGCCAGCGTGGCGCCGTGGAGAGCTAGAGCGGCCGGCGGGAGGAGTAGAGACGCCGGGGCAGGATCGTGGCAGGAGCTGGGCTAGAGCGGCAGGCGGGAAGAGTGGAGCTGAACGCAAAGGTGTATTCGGGCGGCTAGAGCGACTCGGCGGCAGGGGGGGGGGGAACCTGGAGCTGGTGCGCGGAGGCTTCGATTCCGAAGGCAGCGGTGGCTTCTTCTCCCTCCCGGACCAGGTGAGGGACGCGGTCCCTGGCGGGCGTCAGATCCTGGTTCTGCACGTTTCCCCCGACAACCCTGACCGTGCACACCACCACGTCCTCTGTCGGAGTTAGGGCCGGTGTAGACCTGCCACGTCTCTTGTAAGAGGAGGCACTTGTAGACCCCGCCACGTTTATATGAATGACAAGGTCTTAAAGACCCTCCGCGTTCTTCTAGCCCCTATGGAGGCCTGGCCTTTTGTAGATATAGAGTCCTCCTAAATCAATAGCATCCATTTGAATGCGGGCCGTGTACGTGGGTCACGGGACCCACCATACACTGCTATAGAATTCTGTGTCTGTGCCCCCTTTTAAATCTCTAGAAGTCCCATAGACTTTCCCTATCATCATCTCGTGTGATCTCTGGATCCCAAGAGCCCCTGTTAGGTTATTAAAGGCACCCACAAGTTCTTGGGGATCCTGGGTCATCTGCTCAATATCCTATAGGCCCTGAGCTGCATAGAATCTGGTCACTCATACTGTCCCTCGTGTGTGCTCACTTGTCTCTAGGAGCTCCTACCCACTAAGGGAACTTCTAAACCTGCCTTGTCACCTCCCTCCACAGCCCCAAGAGTGCTCCCTCTGCTGGACCACAGGCTTTAGTCAGTTGCCTTTAGATCTATCTATCGTCTGGCAGCTTCACATGTCACTCTCCAGCCTGTGAGACCCACTCACCCCATCTCCTGAACAGCCAACATCTCTTCCCAACTGTCCGAGCCCCAAGCCTTTGTGGAGTAGCCAAGTTCAACCTGCACCCCAGTCCAGACCATGGAAACCACATACTCCTGGCTTTCCCGGGCATCATAAGTAGACCTGATGCTTCTGAGAGCGCTCATGCACATTTTAGCTTCCTAAGGGAGTCCCCATGCTCTGAAGCAGTGCAGACTGTGTTAAATGCATAAACTCCGCAGCGAGGCTGCCTAGGTCCAATTCCTGGCTCTGCCCCTTCTGAACTGTGCCTGTTTTCTCCTCTATAAGATGAGGATAAGAGTGATACCTCATGAGTTCATCAGGAGGATTCGATGAGTTAATATCTGCAGAGGGGCCAGCCGATGGCATGGTGGTTAAGGTGCCTGGATCCCACATGGCCCTCTGTGCAGTTCGAATTCCAGACCTGGCAGCTTGTAAAACAAACTGGATGCATTACCTGTGTGCCCAAACGCCGGCGAGGAGAATGGAGGGGAAGGGATTGCAGCTTGGACATCCCCGCTAGGGCGTGTTCTCACTTCTCATCAGGTTACTGTGACAGGGAATAGGAGATAGCATGTGTCGAGTGCGCAATTCGGGGCCGGCACTGAGCCTTTGCTCGGGTAGAGTGTGCCTCTGGAGTCACCCTGCCTCGGTTGGACCTTTCTGCTAAAGAGAATGAGCATGGACCTTCACGTCTGTGGTCATGTTTTCCAGCCTAGAAGTTGCAGCCGATGGCCTGGCAAAGATCTTCCCATTTCGTTTTCTTTTTAAGTTTGTTCATTTTTTTCCATGAGAGAGACAGGCCCCCACAATAGGTCTTCATACTGGATCCACCCCCAGCTTCAGCCAGCACCGCAGGCACATGCGTGTGCACCAGGCACGTACAGGGAGACCTCAGGTCTCGAACCCAGTTCCTTCCATTGTGATCTCAGTGTTGCAGAGCAAAACGTTACCATTCACCGGGTTTCCCATCTCTAGGGGCAGTGGGAATAGCATGGGTGTTGGTGGTTGTCAGGGTTAGGGGAGTTAATGCATGAGAAACACTCAGAGCATTGCCTTGCTCACTGTAAGTGCCGCATGAGTTTAGCTCTCAAAATAAATAATTACTATTATTTTTCTGCCTTGGTTTGCAAATTTATTGATGTGCACATTTAACAATGCTCAAATCTTGAACTACCCAAGCTTGGATGTTGGACAGATGTACTTTATGAAAAAGAATAATGTCTGCTTAGGTGGATGCGTGGGATGAATTTGGACACTCCAGAAAGCACCACTGTTTAATAAGCGTAATCAAAAGCATAGTCGCTCTTGATTGAGGACTAGGGAGGCAGCCCATGGAAGAGAGAGATGGGTGGGTCTCAGGCCATGAGGGCTGTGGGGAGCCCCCCTACTGGTCCACCCCTCTTCCCACAGCTCCTTCCCGCCTGACACTGGCTTCCATGGCATTAGTCAGACTAATTAAGGACACAGAAGATGTTGGTAAACTGATCTGGGGAGAAGTGGAGACTCTAAAGGAGGCAAAGTTGGGAAAGACAGCAAGAGAGAGATGAGGGAGAGAAAGAGATGGAGAGAGAGCACAGGAGACCAGCTAGAGGGGGTAGGGAGCCGGCTTGAGGCTGTGGGGGAGAGGCGGGAGGGAAGAGTGAGACAGGCCTGGAGAAAGGGAAGGAGAAAAATGAGGAAACAGAGGCAGAGGCAAGGGAGGGCAGCCAGGGAGCCGGCTGGGGAAATGAGATGGACAGATGGGCGGGATGGACGCGCGTACATTGGGTGGAGGTAGACAGACTGGGCCACCAAAGTCAGGAGACAGGAGGTCCTTGAGGAAAGAACAGCCTCTGGGTTCAGGGACTTCAGTCCCTGAGGGAGGAGGGTTGGGTTTTGTTTTCTGCTGTGGAGAGAGTTGGGGGTTGGGGGTTTGCCATTGCCACTTCCTGTGACAGGAAGTGGGGCTGGTGGGTTCTGAGGCAGCATCCTGCCCCAGGTCTGTCACAGATCGGAGGAGAGTCCCCCCACACCCCAAGCTCTCCTGCTGCCTCCCCTTTAACCCTCCAAACTAGCCCCCCAGCGCCCTGGGTGCTCCCACCTGGCAGGCCAGGCCTGTCCCCCCCCCTGCCACTGCTGCCAGAGTCCAGTCGGGGC